GTTCAAAGGAACGTGAACGTAATAAAGTTTGTAAGATGATAGATTAAAGACAACGATCTTATTATTCGATAATAGTATTATTCAATAACCAATGAGCTAATTCTACAATTTATTATCAGTAAAAAAAAAAAGAGGTTTTTTGTAGCATGAAGATAAGATCAAGGTTTATGCAATTTTTAATTCCGGCAAAAGTTTGGTAAATAACTTTTACTCGAAAGTGCTCTATGTCGTTTCAGCAATAAAATGTCCCGAAAGAATATTCACAAATAAAAAATTTTTTTTAATATACTCCATATTGGTTGCCCTTCCACATTCAGACTTCATAAGATGGTAATTAAAAACTAGTCACTATTTTCGTACATTCCGGTTCTCTGCTGAGTATACAAGTTTTACATGCAATTGCAGAATTGCACTTACAGTAAAAACAATAATGTATACGTTTTATTATAGTAATCATCTTATCGGTGGACATAATGAACACGAAATGACTGGGATGTCGAACTTTTTGAACGAGATGCGATGAATTTTATGTAATCAGTGTCGATGTCTGGATGATGTCAGACACAATACATTTTCGTTAACAATCCCGAACAAGCTAAATCCCAGTGAGTCGAACGAATCCAAAACTTCAAACTCGTTTCTAAAAGCTCCTGTGGATATCCTAGTCAATTATTTGATCAACTCTTGGACTAACCATTTGTGTAAATCGGGTGAAATTTAATAACCTTACAATACATAATATATTTTCAGACCAATGCATTGTACTGTATTTTAATTATTTTGTTACAAGCATATATAAGTAAACACTGAAACACGGGTGAGTATTGGATAAGAAAACCAAAATTTATATGTGTAATTTTTCTTAATGTTCTACTCTGTCAAATGAATTTTTTATCCACTTAATACCGCCACAATGATAGTTGAATGTATATTTCGTTCTTACAGTACATTCATTGTAAATTCCGATCATTCCCAATAGAATGCTTGTTCTAGCACGTAATGCATGAAAATTTTTTAACTCTAAGATAATCAAATCACAAGTTACTATACAGTCTAGGTTGAATGAGAAACCTATTTGACTAAAATTGAATCTCGAATCAATGTTATACCTGTAAATAATTGGTAGCTTTGAAGTACTTCAAACAATGTAACACCTATCATAAATATTTATAGATTATCTTGATTAAACTATAAAATTTGTTACAATTCGGGATTTACGCTGTTCTTTTACCTATTGAAGTAAAGCAACACATTGATACGATTTCCACTACGATAAGAATTGTCTTAGTATATACTGGGAAATACAGTAAAGTTATGAAGATTTTTATAAATTGGGAATGAAAGATTTTGAAAATTCGTACATTCGTGTGTTGTGCACTGGTTAGAGTGTCAAATGCTATTAGAGACTTAACGAGCAAGGAAAGTCGGGAGGGGAAATGGGATCTAAATTTCCGATAGGAATCGGCACTATTAATTTATATGAAATTAACGACATAGTAATAGTAATAGTGAGTCGTAAATGTAAAGCCTAACATTAATGCTTAACCACGATAGTGACGCACAATGGTGCAACCTCTTCACCCTGTTAAAAAATGCTTCCAATAGTAACTGCAATTCTTTGATTCCATGGTGGACTTGATGTAAATTAATTTCATATTAATATTTTTTATATAGAAGTCGCAATATATTTAAACTGTGCTGCGTAAAACAAGTCTTGCAACTGGTTACTTGGTTAATTTTCCAGCCACAACAGCATTTTGAACAAACGTTCACTTTGTCTTACAGCCAGTAAACATGCATGACCGCACGATTCTTATTACCCATATTGGTTAACACTCAGCCACGCCATTAATCACTTTACTCGCAGCATGAAAATGACGTTCGCTTTGTCTCGTTTGGCACACTCATTGTACGTTTGATAATTTGGGAGACGGTTTTTATTCATGCATAGAAAGGCATTCCAAATTACTTTGGAAATCCAAGCAATGCCAACAGCTTGAGATACGATATTATCATACAAAGAAATTCTGCACCTTTATGTTAAAGTGAAGTAACACATGATGTGCTTGATGCATGAAGCCATAAAAGCTAGTATAATTAGATGATATTCTAATTCTGCAGTGCCCAAGCTATATCGATAAATTATTCAAGACCAACAAAAACTAAAAGCGCACGCGTTAGGGGGATAGGGAAGACCCTGCCTTCTTGGACCAGATGGTGATCGTAGACAGCCAACTTACAACGGGGATTTATAATGCGAGTAGCAGCTGTTACGGATGAATTATATGGTTACATTATCATATGAGATCAATAGTAGAGTTTAACTGTATGCACATATGATGATGTTATTCCAAGTTTGAGAAAATAATGAAAGGCAAAAAGTTTTAATACTTGCAGAAGTGAGTGGCGAACTGACATCAGGGAATCATCTGTCCGTTTCACATATAATAGACATGCCTCTTCTGCAGACTGTTCCTGCTTTTTTCGCCCCTCTCACCATCGCCCGCCTCTTCCATAAACTTTGTCATTTACATTATGCTATTGTGTTATCGGGTTGTCCATTCAAAATTTAAAAGACTCTGGTTCGTAAATGGATGCTTGCGTAACGTAACTAATTATGAGATCGAAGCTTTGTACTAGCACATACATCTTTATTTACAGGATGTGCGGGCGCTGGCATGTAAAAAGGCGTTTGGTGATGTGGGAAAAGCGAATGAGTAACATTAATGTGGCACGTAACATAAGAGCTGGAGTTTTAGGGGAAAGAGATGTGCTGTGGGCGGGAAGCTTTCAGGACAAATTGCGTTATTAAAGAGGATAAATGTATATAATGTATATAACAAGGGGGGGGGATATACATGCATATAAATAAAAATACAGTTATAATATAGTTATAAAATACAGTTATACAGTTAGTTAGACGGTTAATGGATCTTTTTTTTTTTTCGAGTGTCAAAACTTTGTGTCATGAGAAATGACAACACCCTTTCCCCCCTTTGCTTTTTAGTTATAACGTAAAAGGAGTCATTCGTTGAAAGCTGAGACAATCCTTCGGAAGCGAACTTAAAATGAACTAGAAGCACTTGATAGATAGCCGCATTCGGACATTCATAACGTAGGTTGAATTCCTTTTACCGATGGCGAGCATAATTTTCCTCCTCGTGGGACCGTCGCTCATATGACAGTATCAATATTGTCTGGTGTATTTATGTCATTTAGTGAATATGTGCAACCCGAAGATTATATACATTATCAGCACTAATACTTGTGTTGTTACTGCAGGAAACACGCCCGTTGGAGCCAAAGCATCGTTTTAGTAAGGAAATAATTGTCTTGTCGTCATGATACTAAGATTTTCCCTTCGCAGGAGTATTGATAAAGTAAGCAGTTAGTTTTGTTATTATTATTATGTTCAGTAGTCTGATAAGGTTATGTGTAACTGCGGGCCGATGGGAACTGTTAACCCTGCAGCCAAACACAGCTAAGGCAGCTAAAAATCTCCATCCTGGTAAGAGTTTGATGCAGACGACGTAATCTACATCTATATTCGAAATTTTCCACCAACCAGTGGGAAGCAAGAAAAAAAATTTCACAATGATAGGGTTAGTAATTGTTGTCTCACTCTTCTCTTTTTCTCTGTTCTCTTTTTCTCTCTCACTCTTTCCCCCCCACTTTTTCTAATATTTCCAATATTTACAAAAATCCCCCAATAAAGTTCCGTAAAAGGAAAATGATCGTACCAATGATATAACAGGAATAGAACCAAAGAATGATATAAATGCTAATGCGTATAAAAAGTTTTCCCTTCTTTTTTTCTCGCAAGTCTCAGAACTGACACATCTGTTGCACAGTCGGCTGATACACAAACAAATAGTAAATATACGTAAATAAATGAAAATTGATAAGCAGCAAGATGATCATTGTTTTCAGTTTGGTGGAATGATAACAGTTGTAACGTAACATAGTAACAGTAGTAACATAGTAACAGTAGTAATATACATAGTAACATAGTAACAGTAGTAACCACAACAACAATACTTATGGGCGGTAATAAATAATGGACCGAGCACACAAAACCTTAGTGGTCTATTACGTTAGGCATTAAAATATCAATTATGACACTAATTAATTTTAATATTAATTGCTATGAAAGAAAACTTTACTCTCTATAAAGAGTATACATCATCTCTCGGTATCACAAAAGCACAGTTTGTCATGGATGTTATGACCAAAATGTCTGCGATTCCTGCCGTGTCTGGATATTTCGCCACCCCAGCTGTTGCACCTCCCTTCCGCCCAGTTGCACCAACTCTGTATTCATCCTTTCTCCGCTTCTCATCTTATATAACACATTCCCCCCCACTTCTCACCCTTTTTTCTTTGAGTGGTAGCGGGTAAACTGTTCTTCTTTTACAGAGACTGATTACTCTCCTCTTCCCGCCTTCTCCCACCCAGAAAATAAGCCCCAGAGAGTACAAGAACAGTTAAATAAAGGCACTCTACAACTAAACCCAGAATATATAATAATCTTACACAAAATAATAATTCCAAAGAGTAATAATAACAAAAACTACACAGGGGGCAAAGCTTCTGCTAGTCTTCTTGTTTTATTACCTTGTTCAACAACTAACTTGTCCTTTCATATCAAATTAACCCCCCTTCCTTACTTATTATAGAACAAGTCTATTTCCATTTCTTGTTCCGACGTCAAATTGTTGAACAACTTTACTTCGGAACTAGCACATTTTTACTCTCGTCCTCTAGAGACAAACTTGTTCTTCTCTTAAAGTCCTAAAAACTCGACTTTTATTATCAGCATATATACACACACTGTGAACTGTCTCATGGACTCTTACTCTCAAATATCCTGTTAAGCCACACTCAAGGAAAATTACTTTAAAAAATATCACAGATTCAGAGAACAACAAAACCGTTTAACGATAATAATTTACTTTTGCTGTCAAGTTCTCTGTTTCTGTCAAATTTAACAACTAAATAAAATGACGGCGGAACCAAGCGACAGCACTACCAGCACCGCACCGAAACCAACAGCAAGCGATGCAAACACAACTTATCAACAAGATTACTCTTGGAAACTACCAATGACGCCTGCACCGCCGCGTCTGAAACCGGAAAGAAAAAAATCGGAATATCAAAGAGAATTTGCCTGGCCTAGCTCTCCAGCACCCTCTCCGGCGCCTGCTACTCCAGAACCACAAAAGATAACAAACACAAACGACTCTACACCCGCTATAACAGAATCCACTCGATTAAATGCTGTGCGTGAATTGCCACAGTCTGTAAAAACTCCAGAGTTGAGAGCATCAGACGACAGACTTTTGAATGCTTCCAAGCACAATGGATCATTTGTAGTAGAGCCTGCACCTCTAATTGACACTATTTCTCCTGTCAGAAACGACGACTCTTGGAGTAATTCTCTGCGCAAAGACAAACCACAAGAGGTAACAACAAATAATTGTCTTATAGTCGGCACTGTCGTCATTTATTAAATTTTGATTACGTAAAACAGTGACCCCATTTGATACTAAATGTAATTGATTTTCATTATTTTTTGTATGGCGTCATTTACGAATCCCCAATATTGGTTAGCTCGGACTAGACGAAAAGACAAAGAAGATTGTCGCGCTCGAGGCAAATCGATTATCAAAGAAATCACGCTCACAGTCAATGTATTCGCTTCATGATCAATTAAAAGTTTTGGAAGCTGCAGAGGATTTAACAAACCCTTTGGAATCAGAATACAGACGAGAGTTTGTCAATTGGACTGAATATGGCAAGTTTGGCAGAGAAGATGGTACGTTTAATGCTAGGTCAAAACAACCTACCCTCCGGCGACGTGGGTCATGGTCCGCACCGCTTCCTGCACCGCTCAGGTGGTTGGATAGTCAAGAGAAGCTACAGCCGACTATCCCCAACTCACAATCAATCAGAGCACCCGTTAAACAACCTCCACCTCGACCAAAGACGTCGGCTGAATTTCGAGACTATTTTGATTTTGACAAGCTCAACTATACCTTTGAACCACGGCTCTCGAGAGATGATTTCGATGAGCGTTCTATCACTCAATCTGATAAAAAATATAGCAGCTCGCCGCTACGATCAGGTGCCTATTATGATCACCTCGACAACAGAAGGCGTGATGGCGATGACATATTAACTGATAAATATGATGATAGACGAAGTGACAGGTACGACGACAGGCGTACCGACAGACCTGACGACAGGCGAACTGAAAGATATGACGATGGACGATATGACGATAGGCGATCTGAAAGATATGACGATAGACGCCCTGACAAATATGATGATAGACGTGATCGTGACTATGATGATAGACGTAATGACAAGTACGATGATAGACGTGATCGTGATTATGATGATAGACGCCGTGATCGTGAATACGATGCATACGATGACAGACGAGGAGATAGGTATGACCGTGTCTATGATGACAGATACGAGCGCTCTCGTGATAGAGAATACCCCGATAGATACGAGCGTCCTCGCGATAAAGGATATGATGACAGATATGAACGCACTCGTGAAAGGGGTTACGATGATAAGTATGAGCGGTCCCGTGATGATGAGTACGATGATAGATATGAGCGTCCTCGCGGCGGTAGAGATTATGATGACAGACGATCAGACGCATACGATGCTCGTCGTCATGAAAGAGAATACCAAGAAAGTCGTGCCGATTCGGCGTATAGCGATCGAAGACGTGATCGTGAGTATGATGATAGACGGTATGGAAAATCTCATGATAACAGCAGCGTTAGCAGCAGACGCGAAGACCCTTATGATGACTATCGTAGGGATCGCGACAGTAAACGCGATCGTCGTAGCGATTTGGTATATGAAGATAGTCGTGGCGATAAAGTTTATGAAGCCCGCAGATCAGAACAAGACTCTCGATCGACAAGTCATTCCACCGTGTTACCGTCAGAAGACGACAGATATGGCGATCGCGCTGGTTATTCGAGGTCAAAGCATTCGACTGGTGGTTCACGTGATGAGACTGCGCATTCAGCTTCATATGTCAACAACTCTCGTACGCGGTCTAGTCAAAGTTCGCTCAGCTCTGTATCGACACCAAGCACTCCGGCAACGCCCAATGGATACGACACATATGAATCGCGGACGAAAAGATCTTCGGATATTGATAGTAGATCATATAAAGAACAATTGTATTCATCTACCAGTTCTAAGCAGAGGTCATCAAATATAGAAGATGATCGAGATCGATACTCTAATTACAGTAGAACAAGTCAAACTCCACTTCGCAAAGGGTTCACTATTGGCGATGATGACGAACCAATTGAAACACCCAGTCGCACGTCACGTCGACAGCATCCAACCGACAGTTCATCGTATCGAGACTCTTCTACTCCAAGAGGGCGACAAACAAGACTCTATGAAAGGTCTCCTGCATCATCAGCCCCCCAGTCCTTTGCATCTTCGCCGGCTCGATCGCCCAGTCCGCCAGGAGAGTACCGTAGATATCATCACAGTAGCATAACGTCACCTAACCTGTCACCCACATATTCATCTCGACCTCCATCCCGAGCCACCAGCGTTAGTAGTCATGCTACATCGATCGAAGAGGAATCTGCTGTACTAACAGACATGCTACGAATAGCCGACTCGGCAACTTTGAGAAGTCTCACAGACCAACTTAGCATATTCCGAACATCTCGAGACGTGACAAGAAGCTCTATTCAAAGCAACACCAAAGGGACCAAAAGTACGACTGCCAAATCAACGAAATCGACACCAGTCTCAAAACCGAATCGTAGCAGTTTACCAACAACTACTACCAGAAAGGCATCATCAGTAAGGTCTGGCGTGGCAACTCCTCGAACATCAAGTAGTGCTGCCAGCTCGCGAAAATCATCAGTAGTAAATGGATCTATTCCACGACCTACCAGTGCGCCAGTCAAAACTCGCCATAAGCCTCCATCATCAGCGGCATCGTCGATCTCGTCAATAGGGTCGTCTCGTAGCTTGGGTGCTACATCATTTAGTGAAGCGCGCGAGGCACTAAGTAGAGCCAGGATGAAAGTTGAAGAAATGTTGGAGCTTGTCAGTAATGGAAATTACGATGTGTAGGAAGAAATCAAAATTTGGCACGAGTATATAAAAGGTATCCAAAGACACCGCAAGTGAAAGAAACAGACAAAAAAGACAGGAAATGTATGCTAGAGCGGAAAGTAGAAAGAACGACACACGTTGTGTGTCTAATGGTTTACCAACCGAGAATCGACAAAGAAAACGGGCTTTATAGCATATGTAACAAAACCCACATTCGCAATTTATGATTTAATGTACCAATACCGAGTTTCTTTGAAAGAACGACGGTATTACTTTTTTTTTTTCTTTTCTTCACCATTCGACTTACGCATATACATCTACCGCATTTGATTTTGTTTTTGTTTTTTTCTGTTTATCATATTACCTCTTTTATTTCCTTCTCTCTCACACTTAAGATTTTTCCGATTTACGAAAATTTTTTTGGAAACGTACCAAAAAAGAAAAAAATTTTGCAAAAAAGAAAAAAATTTCTAAAACCCTAATTTCATACCCACATCTTCTCACACTGTAATATATAGCCTTGGTTTTTTTTTTCTGCTTCAATTTTCTAATCTCTTCATCATACAACGCTTTCGCCGTGTTTCATCTTTATTTCAAGCCCATCCCTCATTTGTCGATTATTAAATTAGATGCCAAAAATAGGCATTGGGAAGAAAACGGTTCTGCTTAAGATGACTGCTAGCATATTTTTTTGTAACCCTGTCTTTTTTATTCTTTTATGTCTTATTGACTTATCCTTTGGCATCGTTGTATCGGTATTATATATTTTTTTTTCTTAGCAAAGGACTGTCTCGCATTCCTTCTGTCATTATATCTTATTATTCACGATACAACTTGTTTGATTGTCATATTTTACTTATAAAAAATTTCGATGTTTTAAACTGCAAAAGTTTTTGAAATTGATGGACTCTTTTTTTTTTTCCTCTTCTTTTCCTTTTTGTTTTTTTTAGATGTCACTTTGGGAACGTTCGCGCTATATATCGCCGATCGAGTAGTTTTGGAAATTTGTATGTATTTATATTTGATCTTTGGATTTAACATGTACATTAATGTTGCCCAACAATCTAATTGAGATCAATTCACGCAAGAGTGTAAAGGCTGAATAGACTATAAATAAATAAACAATGAATGAATTGAATAACGAACGAACTATCGAATAACATATTGGGACCTGTCGTTACTGCTTGCAGACCGTTTAACTCCAGTACCAATAAAATATTCAGAAAAAAAGAAACAAAAAATTTTTTATTAAATATGACAGCGTTGTTAGCGTTGTTAGCGTTGTTGCCGGGGGTTCTTACGAAAATATTTTTAACGTCATGCCTCGGCCAAATCCATATCAATTGGCATCTCATAAACTTTAGGACTAAGAGCTTTCCAATTCTCGTGTAATTGCTGCGCATATTTGATTTGATGGTTAGCAAAATTCTGATAGAGAAGCGATACGAAGGCGGCACTCTTGTGGAAAAGCGTAAGTTCAGTATTTAGACAGTGACGAACAAACACTGAACGTTGTCGCAGGACTTCGACGTCTTCTTGGTCCTATTAAACAATGCAAATATATCAAGTCGGGTTTTACAATAATATCGTCAATAATCTCTATATATATTACCTTTTGTATGCTCGCTGATATTTGTTCGGTGTCGACGTTTGCGTTTTCCTTGCCGGGTTCTGTTGATAATTTGGCCTGATTGGCTGCTATTCGATCATTAAGTGTTTCGGTATTGTCGACAGAGAGTCTGTCTTTTCGTTCCAGTACCTCCTGTAATAAGACAACGTACAGTGTTAGTAGTTAATCCAAAAGAAAAAAAGTTTAACTCGTTAATGAAATGCTTGCCTTGAATGATACCAGCAAATCACGGTGTCGCTTCAGACCTTCCAATACGTTCTCAAGCAACATCGATGCCTAGAGAAAAACAAACCGAGGAAAAAAAAAAGGGTAAACAGTCAATCATCCATAACCTACACTAAAAAAAATATGTTGGACTTTACCTCTTCTTCCAAGAGAATGCTTGCTCTCTGTAAATGACTCGAGACCTGCTCCATGCCATATGTTACTTGAGTACATGGATAACAGTCATCTATGTAGCAAGTCCTCTCGTTTTCAACTAATGCGCTAGACGTGACAATAAAGTTATATTCAACGTCTTTCGTCAAAGGTATACCAATTTTTCTTTTCTACACTTACTTCAATGTCATACTGTATCTCGATAGATCGCTCGCCAACCCTGTTTGAAACAGTGCATTAATAGATCGTGAGAATTGTAAACTAATGACCACAAAAACCTCAAAACGTTTAACCAAAGAAAGAGTTTTGAGATCACGTATCCAGACCCCATAAAATATCCTACTACTAACCTTCACGACGTCGCGCCATCCTCTCCAATAGACTGCATAAATGACGATAATGTCCAATGGAAGCATCAATGCGCTTACTGACTTTTTCAAGCTTACTATCCAGGTCGTCTGGTATACGCCGTTCCAACTCTGGTGGTACTCGTTTCTTGATAAATTCTTCTGTCAAATCCGGTGTGTTATTCTTACGCCAGACGGCTATTTCCTATATTACCCATACAAAAAAAAAATGAATACAAAAGTACGTGTAAACAAAAACAGAATCATACTAGGTTTCCTCACCGTCTGCTCAGATATAAACATTTCAAACAAGACGTCATGCCTCAACACCGGATGCCGCGCAATATAATTTAGAAAACGCGCCAACCCCTTCCGCCGCTTTTCGAGAAAGGCCTCATCAACTGTAAAATAAAATCCGTTCACTACTTAACATAAGAATCCGCTGGCGAGATGTCGACGTTGCTCTTCGCTAAAAATCGGGAAGTTGACAGGATGCCCTACCTCCAATCTTTTTTGGCGGCAGAGCAGGTAATATACGGAATGGGTATTTCTTTACTAAACACTCCATTAGCCACCAGAAATCACTATATCGCCTTATGACTCTAGTGCTCCGAAGCTGAAATTTGTCAAATGTTAATATACGCTAGATGACGCAAACAAGTTTGATAATAGAATGTTCCTGAAGGAAAAGCTTATTACCGAACATTCCACAATGTAATTTACATGTTTCATGAACAAAAACCCTTCTCTTTCAGAGGCAAAGTTCACTGTAATCTGCTCTCTATGATTTAAATACCATCGAAACTCCTCTCTTCGAACAAAAGTATCATTGGCATAACTATTTGGCGCGGCAGCCTCTGTCACAGTGCCATAAGGCGAATCTGAGAGACCATTAGTAGGTGCTGGTGCTGCCCATGGATCTGCCTCAATGGCAGGTGCAGGAGGTTGTTGTGGCCTACTGGACAAACTCAGCGTACGACTATTGTAGCTTAGACTTTCTACGTTCGGGAGTGAAGGTTCTGGCAAATCTATTAAATCGACAAAAATAATACAGTTATCGCTATGCACATACTAAGGATCTCGGCGCGAAAACTGCAAGAACGTTTCAATACACTGCTTTGTTTCTCAAGAAATTCAAACCTTCTCTACGCGCGATTAAATTGTCGATCGATACATCTGTCAAAACAGAAATTAAATCGTTTCCCGTAATTATAAAAATCATACAAAAACGACGTTTGATGCTTACCCATATTCTTCTGAGCAAGTCCGACTAACGCGAGAGCAGCATTGAATTCGCCTCGATTTACATGAGTACTCGTAGCAGGCACAGCAAGATTCAAGATCTGTGAGAATTCGAATCAGACGAAATTGAGAACGAGAATAACAAGACCCACGGACAACGGGGCTTGCATTATTGACTAGAAACTTTGAAATTAACCATGTTTGATAATTTCTCAATTTACCTTTTCGACTGTAGCATGCGGTAGTCCACTAAGACTGAGAACTCTATTCAAGGTGGAGATGGTAACTGTACCACCCACTGGACCGCCGTAGGCGAAGGCTTGTGCGTATATTTCTGGCAGTGATACGTCAGCTATCGATTAAAGACAGACATCGTTTGAACGATTCTCTCGCTGCTAAGTTACGTGAACAACAACAAATTGCCATATTTGAATATTGAACAAGTAGGAAAGCCACCTACACAGTATGCTACCGACATCGACACCGCCAGCAGGGCGATCCCACGGATTACCTATACCCATGTCGAGCGGTTCACTAAAGAGAGAATTCGACAGTGTCTGGGAAACGTCATCATTCAACTTCAATGCTAGAGGATTTTCCGAGCCATCGAAGAATGAACTAGACAAATATTCCTCTTCTAGCATTTTTAAGTATCTCTGGCGATATCCTGGATAAACTTTTCCGCAAATATTATAAAAAAATATGACCCTTTTGCTACTGTACACCGACGATTGTTATTTTACTTGTACAAAACCCCACAACGATATGTGGGAGAAATATAGGAAGTTTCGTTTGTGCTCGGGTACCGCAATTGCCTTTCTTGGATAACTACGACTAATAAAATGTCAATTTTTTCACACCCCCCCGCTTTCGGATATTCAGTGCTTCCTTGATTTGTGTATTTTTCAAAAAAAGATTGGGTAGAAAAAAAACTTCTTTTTTACAAGTCAACTTTTTTTCCTATATTACAGGGAATGACGCGACTGACCACATGACTAACACATGAGCAAGATCAGGTCACTCTGCAAAGTTCTGCCGACTATTTTTATTTTCCGCCCTTTTTGCTCCAGCCCCCCTCACCCCCTGAGACTTTGTGCACCCCAAATACGTATGGGTTTTCCAAAAATTGGTTAATTAGTCCAAGCTTAGCAGCATCTAACCAGTTCAGAGAACTTCACTACTGGTCTGACACTCTGTTGGACACGAACGTAAAGAAAATTTTGGGAAAAACCTGAAACATGTTCATTATAGTAATAAACATAATTATGGGATTGACGTAGAACTTGGCTGGAATAATGTAATTACCGAATATGGTAACTCGTATGGCTACTGTTCTCAGATGGCCATATTTGATTAGATGATCAGAAAAGATGACACTGCAATATCATAAAATACGATCTTTGGCAAAAATTATCATATTTTATTCGATCATGTGCAGATCGTCGATCCATTACAAGGGTCCTGCCAAAAATGACGTATTATATCGTAATAAAGAATAAAATTTGCAGGTGAAAGGTCGGGGAGATACCATAAACAGTAATAGTAATTGGTTGGTAATTAACAACATTTTCATTACATGTATAATCTTATCAAACACTAAAGAAATCTTTGACAAGAGCTTATAAACACCTACTTTTCCTTTAACTTATCCACTCGCCAAATCAGTCGGTGGCGGTGAACCAAATATTAGTAAAAAAAATTGTTGGTTTTTTTTTTTAATTATTTGATAACTATAAACTCAGAAACAGGGCACAAACTGGTAAACTCTAGTGGGAATAACTGATGAGAAATAAAAGGATTTGTCCTCCGTTATTGCTAACATGATTGGACTCCTGAGACAAAATAAAAGAATAATATTCAGAACATCGATTTTTTGCTAATTCGATCACACAATTCAAACAGCACGTAGAGACATGTCTGGCTTATAGAACAAAAAAAAACAGATCATGCAGATTAATTAGCAACATGGAGAGATATGTTAAGAGAAACTTTTATACACAACGAGGTGCTCACTTTTATCATCTACTTTACATGTAGAAGAAAAGGATAAAGGCCCATAATAATAAGACTGATAATACTAACACAGATACATTATTATTGTTACAGGCTTTCAACACTTGCTTCGAGATTATTGACTTTTTGTTCGTTCTTATCAAGATTTTGAACCATTTCTCACTCTGCTAATTTTCATCTAAGCATCGTTTGATAAAATTCTTATTCAATCTCGGAACCGCTACCGAAAAACGAACTAAATAGCAATGACGTCCTCCGTAAAAAGTCAAATAATATGTTGCTAGCAATATTAGCGTATGATTAGAAATAATTCGAATGTAGAAAGATGTTTGGCCATAATGATATGAGAATAAGCTGACAGTCTCTTGCATTTGTCTTGTGAATAACATTTTCGCAAAGGTTCTGTCAGTTGAAAAAGTTGACAGGTCAATCTTGACGATTATTATCTGACATGGAAACACGAAACGGGTTTATAGTAACGTTATAGTGACCTAAAAATTTGTGGCATGTCTCGAAAGAAGGTTTGTGGTTGATAACTATCTAGACGAACAGAAAATTTTCACTGAAAAAATTTGTCCCCATGTGATGGGTTAGCCGGTTTAACGCTGGGAATATGAGTGCTCGTTTTTGCATAGACGTGAACTCAATTGTTTTATTTGTATATATTCAATAATACTATGTCGTCCCACCATATTATATTATGTCACACATGAAAAAGCCAATAGCAAATCGTCAGAAGATATGTCATACGAAGGACTCAATAAGTTCAAACCAACAACCGAAGACGATTCCCAACAGAAAGTACTCTCTCGATGACGTCTACTTCAACGCCAAGCAAGGCTGTAAAACAAGGCGGTTTTCCTAAGATTATACTTCAGTTAATGGAACAAGGCCTTATGTCAGCAGATGCGCAAACAAAAGGATTGTTAACAGACATACAATACTCGGAGAATATTTATGCGCTCAAATACATTCTCGAACATAATGGAGAGTCCGTGTCAGTGGAAGTGTTGATTGCAATTGTGAAGAGTTTACGTTCTCAAGAGTTTGATGAAGCGTTCTCAGAAGAAACAACTATTAAGTTGGAATGGCAATTACGAATTATTGTAATTATACTTGAGCAAATGTTTCAGAATGAGTGCCAATTTACATGTCAGTTTCTTGACGGCATTAGACAAGTCACTTCTATGTATAAGAAGGCTCATTCAAAAATTATGCAACATGGAGGAGAAATTTGGAGACCCGAATATGCGGAATTTAATAAATCAGACAAAAGCATTGGAGACTTTAAATGCAATTACAATATTAGATACCTTCTCAAACATATTAAGAATACATTGAATGCTGTTTCTAGTGATAAGACCCCATATAAGACAAGGATTGATCGAGCCATTGCAGCATTAAAAGGTTTACTTGTTGCTG